TCGTTTCGTAAATTCAAAGCACTTTACAAAAATTGTGATACAAATTTGTATCATTTTAATGACTACATCGCTTGTGACACAAGGGGAACGATACATTTTTTCTATCTTATATCTGCAACATCTAGAAGCACATGAGATACATCCACGTTTTATTATATTGATCGATTGAGAAACAGTTTCTAGATCGATTTAAGCTTTTCCTTCTGCCTGTCCGTCTTGTTTTTTTGTGTTTTTTGTGTTTTGTAGGCCACAAGTTTTGAGATATTTTGATAAAATTTGGTAAATCGATGTGTTTTTTGGTGGAAGGACGGATTACTTTCTCAAGCATTACCTAAATAACGCCTTCTTTGGAACAGTCTTTATCGTTAAGTCTTTATGTGGATAAGTGCATTAAGCGAATTTGTGTAAGGTATTTAATGTATTTAACTGCGGTCCGTCATAGTGTTCTTATTTGTTTTTATATGTAACACTGAAGCAATAAAAGGGGCTGCACTGAATTTGTCCTTCCCTTATCCCCTTTGCAACAAACCAAATGAAGTAAAAGCCTGAATCGAATAAGCTTCGTCTTTTTGTCTATCTATCCTGCAAACTCTACATATATTTTTAAGAATTAGAAAGACATGGCCAGCAAGTATATAAAAATATTTGCAACTCGTATTGGATAATAATCCAAAACTCGGTACAAACACTGACGAAGATTTCACAAAAAGATGACAAGAACTATTCTCTTCTAAGCACTCCCAGTATGGGAGAAAAACGACAAGTGATTTGCAGCCCACAAAAGGTACTCTCAGTTAAAACTTATTAAAAATGCTATCTAGGACCGGATCCGTTTATAATAAAATGTTTTCTAATTCCATTATATTTGCGAGGACGAGAAGACGATATTTGTTTTTGTTTAATTTTTTTTTTTTTAACTTTGCGAATAGATTGAGAAATGGAGAGAAAGAACATTTGTTTTCTTTAGCAAAAAAAAAAGGAAAAAAAAATTGGTCTCAGATAATCCTTTTCAATTAATTAACGCAACGTTTATCAGTCCTTATTAAGGTGGTCGTGAAAGTTGAACGAATAACTGTTGCAGAAATTCATTTTCAAACATATAGTCAGGCATAATTCTTAGTCCCAGTTCAAATTATCTATAATTAGTAAAAATCAATTCAAAAACAATTCGATAAGAGAAAATAATATGAAATATATTTGTAGAAAAAGAATGACAGAGCTTAAAAATCCATGAGTATCTTGTTTCAACATTTATTGCATTGTAACCAAAAAATATATTAAATATATATTTACTCATATAAATCTATGATAACATTGAATTCAATAACATTTTCATACTCTTGTAACGTTCAATAATCATAACAAAAATGAAAACTCATGTATTCGTAATAAGCACGTGAGTGCATTTTATAGGCAAACGCATTCACATGCATACAAATTTTATTAGATATTAAACATTTTATGTACTTACACTTGGATGATTGTAGGATTTGTTGAGAGCCTCGTGTATTCTCAAATCCATGCAGGATACTTTTCAACATTTTATTGATATGACCCGCATGCAAATTTTCATGTCTGTTTTTGATCTATATTCCTAAGGTTTTTAAGGGTCACGGTCGTTATTATTGCACAAAAAAAATTTAATTTTATTATGTTTTTAATTAAATTTTTTAAACATTTTTATTGTGATTTATTTTCGTTTCATTACAATTAAAACACAAAAGTTATACAAGTTTATGAAGTGTCATAGGATTCTTCCTTTCATTAAATCTATTAGTTGTAATCGATCAGTTTTCTTTATAATTTTTTTACTTTTTTTTTTTTGTGGTTTTTTGTGTTTTTTTGTGTTTTTTTTGTGTTTTTTTTTATTAATTTATTTCTTTAGCACGTGCTTTTTGTGCAACAACAATTTTTCAACTAATCTGAACCATGTGCATTCATATAATATTTTCATGTCTTGCTTTCCTTGCGCGTTCTTTTTTATATGCATTAGTAGTATATATGTGCATACTTATGTAACTTTACATCAGCCACCTGAGGAATATGTTATTTATTTTTTTTTTTTTTTTTACACAGGATGTTCATCATCGCCGCATGCTTTATGTTTGTTGTGGTTCTTACGTTGTTTCATTTTTCGCATTTTTTTTTTTTTTTTTTGCATTTTGCCGCATTATCAAGTTTTTTTGCATTCGCACAATATCCGATGCCATGTGATTTGTTTGCTTTTATGAAACTACAGTTGGCGTTAAAGTTTCCGTTACATCTTTGTTTGTATGAGTTAAGAAAAAAACTCATTTTTCTTGTTTTCCTTTCTGTTAACTTTAAATTCTCTGTTAAGCTATCATAATGTTGCTGGTGTTATCTGAAAGCTTAGACTTGCTGTTGCATTAATTCGTGTTAACAGATCTGTTAAAATGTACGATGTGCAGTTGTTGTTTTAAAGCTTGTACTGTGTGTGATTGCTGTGTAAATAAAAAGTTTATTTCATTTTAACTTTTGGAAAGTTTATTGTAGACACTTACCGTTGTTAAATGTAGACGAAGAAGATTTTCTTTAAACTTTTCTTATCATATCACTTTTAAACATAGTTTGTGGCTTGTGTTTATTTTAGAATCTCGACTAAAAATCACATGCATGCAATAAATCCAATTTAGATGAAATTTGAATATTGGAAATATCTGAATGAAGTTGGAAAGATGAGCGATACAATGTATATATTATACAGTCGTGGTTCGAGACAACAACGCTTTGCGGGGTAGTCAAAAACACCGCGATATATGTGATAAAGATGTAACGTGCAAATGCTTTACTCGTCTCCGATTTAGAAATTTTTGCCGTTACACACGTGACGCCGTCTTACTTGCTCATCGTTGATAAGGCCGTTGAAATTCTTCAAAAAAATTAAGATAGATAAACGTATGTCATCTTATGACATCTTTGCAGTTAACATTAGTTTTTGCTTTATCTCGCTGCACTCCGTCTTAAAAACAGCATTGCGTTGCTCAATGTTCAGCTCGTAGTATACAATAAATAATTTCAAGAAATTTCTAAAAGTTAATGTTGATTTGTTGGTGGTGCTGTTCCTAATAAACGTGCATGCTTGTTGTCAAGTAGTGATGAATAGTTGTAAGACTGATTTTTATTTCTAATTTCAATTGAAATTTTGATATGCGGCATTTATAGATTGAACTTTCTGAATTGTAAGGTAAATTTAATTTTTTTTTTTCTAATAAAAATGAATTGTTTTTGTCTTATCCTTATTTTGGGAAAATCTTTACATTTTTTTATTTCATTCTACACGATTTTTTAAAATTGATTAACATATGCCTAAATTTATCATAAGCCGTACATATTTTTTACACGGTTTTCCAAGGAACATGTCTACCGTGTAAAAAAAGAGTTGGTTGTAGTTGCTTACTTTCTCCCTTTTTATTAGGAGACATTTTTTCCTGTACTACAATGCGCTAAGTTCTCAATAGACAAATGCAAGTCCCTGAGAAATTGCTGAGCATACGATCCAATTATGTTCAATTTTTTTATTCCCCATATATCAGCTACAGTAGATTAAAGCCTTAATTTTATCGACATTAATCATGATTGGCCGATAAAACATATTCCTTTGCTTTTCAAAGTCCATACAAAGCTTACATGTTTCGATCCAAATTCAAATATAATTACAATATATGCCAGTAATCGCAGTATATGTCAAAGCGAAAAATGTGAACGAAATCTATCGGAGTCCGTCTACCTTACGGTTTGTTTTGATTTTGAGATATATTTAATATTAACTCGATTAACTTGCGATTTTATTTGTATAAGCAAAATTGGAGTAGGTATCTGAGACCAGGTAAATAACCTTGTACATCATAAGGAACCACTATCTATTCATTGACAAATAATTCCGAAGTACTACTTGCTACTGAAAAATCTCATTTTTTCATCAATTTATCCATTTTGCTTATAAAATTACACTTATTTTCTTCGGCTTTTTAAAGTTTGAAAAATGTACCCTCTATATTTTTAAAGTGAGGTTAAGAGAGCGGCATTTAATATAACTCTTTTCATCTAATTGCTTGGCCAATTCGTTTTACCGGGCATAACTAACGATTATGTTTTCTACTTCTTTTAATTTCATTGTCTATTCCTTTGCCGATGCCTCCATGCTCCATGCTGTTCGCGATAGATATGCTGTGGTTCTATCTGATCCTTTCCTTTTCCAAAAGCATCCCATTCTCGAACAGCAGGATCAATGTACGATGACTTAATTGTTTTAGAGTATGCAACATCTCGTCATCAAATTTTGAACATTCAGGAATTTTACACTGCCATTTAAGTATTTTTCCTGTTTTGTAAAGAAATTTGAAGAAATTTGAAGATGCAGAATAGAAGCAATTCTTTTTAGATAATGTGGAAAATATCATAAAAATACATCAAACAGCAAGTTTCACAGATTTCTGTGATACAAGTAAAAATGAAATAAAAGTTTAAAACGAAACAGCAATAGCAATAAGCGATAAGACCAATTTATCCAGTAGAGTGAGTCTTTTCACTATTTTTTGATCCTTTGTGCTTGATCAATGATAGTGACAGTATATGATGACGTATAAAATGTGTGATGATATAAAATTAATTCCAATTCATTAGGTAAAAAAAAAAGCAAGAATTAATTTACTTGCTTTTCACATATTTAAAATTTTTTTTGTTTTGGTTCGGCGCTCTGCAACTAAACAATTCCGTTTGGAATTTATTTTATTTTCAATTTACACTTGTTTTCTCTTATAAATGCAACACTAAACAACGCGTGAGCTATTTAGTTGCCTCTTATGACAGATTTGAGAGAGCGTTTCTCCTATCTCTTATTCATATATATAACTAAACAAGTCGAAACTCGAAAGTGAAATCTAGTTAACGCCATACATAGTCAGTTCTCTGTACTTTTGATGTTGTTGTTCTATAAAAAGAAGAAGAACGAAAATTATGTAGTTTACTATAAGAATTTGTTTTTTATTTTGTTTTTCTTCTCAGCCGAGCATTTCGATTTCAAAGAATGGGAAAAGAATATATTTATTTGTCATTTATAAGATGTAAGGAAGATCTAAGGATATGTGGTAAATAATTTTACCAATAGGAAAGTTCCGTTTTAGTTTTTAAAATTGCATTCTGTCTTTTTTTAGCATCAAACGCAAATAAATAAAATGGTTAAAGAGATGAGTTGCAAGCCTGATGCGACAGTTGAATGATTGGAAAATGGTTTGCGAGGAAATAGAGAAGCGCTTTATCATATAAAGGTGTGTTGGCCAATCCAAAAAAAGAGCCACATACAATTAAGGCAGGAAAGCCGGCTTTAAACTACTTTCGGTGGCAGGCCGTAAGCAAAATGACAATACTGTGTAATGTGCCTATCATGCGGGTGACAAAGCAGGCGATTTGCAGTATTCTGATGCTGACTTAGCTAATCAGTCAACAAACTGCATTAAGCTTAATACCTTCTGTTAGAAAAGAATGCCAAAGAGTTGACGAAATGATGAATGAGAAGAATCATTGCAATCAGTGTGACGAACGTGATTCGGATTCGTCGTCGTGCATATTCTTAAGATGAATATTAAAAAACGGAGATATGTCGTAAAGAAATAGTGAAGGAGACCAAGGGGCTGACTCACACTCAGAGGACCTTTAAATATCACTTGAAGAGAATGTGGATTTATACACCTACACGAATCCTAAGCATGAAGATACCATCAGGTTACAGGTGAAGTTGTGTGTACTCTAACACTTGCAGCAAATATTAGGCAAAAGAAAACTTTGCGTGTTTTTATCAAAATTCAAACACATCTTCTTTTATGTATTTTAACTTAACCTTTATTAAACCAAATGTGTATCATTTTGATTAATAACTTTTCACGTTTTTCTACTAAAGCAAGTTTACAATATCCGCAGAACTTATGACATTTCTAGATCACAAAAACTGAACCGAATGATTTTCGTAGACTTATATTGGTGTCTGAATGCTGGATTCGTAAGAGAGTTCTTCAAAGAGCGAAATGATTGGTAGTTGGACGAATTTCAGTTTATACGGTTGTGCATGGAATCTTAGCTAAACTCTCAATTTTTGTCAGGCCAACGAAGATGTGTGTGAACGGGCATTATCTTCAAAGATGCGAAGTGTTTATTTCATTCCATTGTTTAATTGTTGACGCTTCACATCACTGCGCCCTTAACTGGCATTTATTTTCTGACAAAAGACAGTTTCATCGTGCCCGACTTGCTTCCAATCCAACGTGCCGGCAGCAACTAGCTTTTCGATCATTGAATTAAAACTTGTTTTTCCACCAGTCACAAAGTTATTCTGGAAGTTTACACCATCAATTAACTATGACAGTAGCGATAGCCTAGCGGAAGTTTCGATGCAGTTTTTCCTCTTCGAGTAAAGCAGTCCCACTCGGTGAATGGATTAGAGGGAAGAGTGTAGATGCGGACTATAGATAGGGAATTTTAGATGGAGAGTATGTATATACATATATATATATATATGGCTTACATTAGAATGGAATTTTATTTTTTTTGTTTTTCATTGAAAATATCATTACCCTTTGGAGAAAGGGTAAGGGTGCTTTAATGGAAATTCCTATGTAAGGAAGGAGCTCGAGGGTGGGTACCGGAAATTTGGTTGATAACGGGCACCTGGCTGTTGCTGTTTAATTTGTAAAAGTACTATAAATTCTATTAAAGGGGCCATTGTAGACCATAAATTGCACTTAACTACACGCGTTGCTTTGGCTGATTCCTGATGCATGAATAGACAAACATTGTTTGAATTTACTATGAATGTAATCGACTACGCAAAAAAAGTGTGATGCGTAGTAGTGTGTTAAAGTGTCGTACGTTAATTTCTCTTGTTCTCTAAATACATAAATATAAATTTAAGATATTTCAAAAGACTCGATATTACAGTCATTCAGTTATTCATTGCTTGCCCATATTATTATCTCGATATAATAATAAATAAATTTTTGAACATCTGTTTATAATAGCACTTTTCAATAGTCTTTCGGGACGGCCTACCATATTTCATTCCAATATCACAAGGGTATTGCGCTCTGTAGGTTGAATACAAAAAACAGGTAAGACAGACGGACAGACAAGCTTAAATCGATTCAGAAGTGATTCGGACGCGATCAGTGTATCAAAAGGTGACGTTATCTTAATTCCTTCTGTGTGTTGCACACATCCCTTTTCTCCAACAAGCGGGGTATGGTGTACTTATTATATTAAACATTATTTTTTTTTTAAGTAAACCTTTATTTAGATGAACTAAAAGTTGGAAAATAAATTTGTCCCTATCACTCTCTATTTTGATGTGCCCCAAACTTCAATCTGTACTTACCTAAAAGTTACTTGGGTAAATTGATTTTACATCGCATAAAAAACAGCTTACTCTAAAAAAAGATATACAAAATTTTTTTTACTTGAGTCATTTCTTACTTTTTCGTCCGGAGTGGCCGAATAGGCAAAGGATCTTGAGTAGCAACTCAATGAGTCTCTTCGTTTTTAGTGTTTTTAGTCTTGCACTTAATTTCTCTGGCCAGTCCGTCATATTTCATTTAGAATGGCAGTATAAAGATTGTTTTCTTATGCTCTTCATATCGAAGGGAAATTACTATGAAGAGGGCAGTCCTTCATTTTATTGCGGCAGGCATCTTTTTTCTACCATATTACATTGTCATTGTAACTGAAAATGTGCTCGAAGTATCGATTGGATGGATATTTCAAGGCTGAGAGGGATGCGAGTTAAATAAAAGTTTATGAAAAACTTCATTTCTGTTTATGAACAATTTTTGTGATATTATTTCCGCTTATATATGCATATATAGCTGGTGTAACGATTATCTTTCTCTGACACATAATATGTCTGTTACATGATAAGCACTGACGAGTGATTATATGTTATGTACTGTAAATCAGAAACATGCTACGGAATCTATCTATATAAATCTCCAACGAAAAAAAAAAAAAAAAAAAAAAAAGACGATATGTTTTAGTTAAAAAAAAAAAAAAAAAAAAAAAAAAAAAAAAAAAAATGATTTATTTAATATTTATATTAATATATGTGTACATATATATATATATAAATACATTTGTTTGTATACGAGTGAAAATGAAATTTGTTTTTACTTCGCCTGCACGGCAACCAGCCTCTTCAAATAATAATGCAGAAAGCTTTAAAAAATAATATAAATTTTATTTGTTCTTTTGTGAAAAGGTAAATATTTGCCCTTTTTTTTTTCATCAATTATATACGTAAATTGCCACTTAAATATGGTTTATTTGTATAATTCTTTATAAAATATATTTGTTGTTATTTACTGTCTTTTTTTTTTTTTGTTTTTAATTCAATATTTATTTATACAGGATAATAACCGAGAATTTTTTTTAATACTCCTTTTTTCACACTCCAGCTGTGCCTTTTGAAAAATAATCCGCTTATGAGAAATTAAAAAAAAAAAAATAAAAAAGACGAAAAATGGAGATAATATTATATTATATTATATATATATTTATATATATATAAACTGTATATATATATATATATATATATATGTCAATATTAAAAAATCATTTTTTATATATTGTGAGAAGCGCTTTTTATGAAACGTAAAAAATATGTGGGTAGAAAACAATTTATTAACACTTTTACTCACTTATATAATCGAATATAATTTATTATTGTAATTTAACTTTTTATTTACTTATTGATAGATATTCATTTATATTGATTAATAAAATCTCTCTCCGCTGAATAAATAGAAATTGAATGACAAGTACGTATTCAGGGATCGAACAATAGAAACCTTTGAAAACCACTTGTGGTCAATCGCGTCTTTAACATAATCTTTTTGGCATGCTTTTTAACATCGAATGGCGGTTAATCGAGGAGCAGTTCTTTGAAAATTGAATTTTGAGTCCGTGCTGATTTGCCCATATGGGCCCAAATCGCATCGGCAGTTAGCAGGTTGTACAGGTTGTACAATAAATCATCATATTTATCGCCATATTGATTCCAATCTTCGCTTGCTCAGTAGACAGCAATTTGTATACTCACTTGGGTAAAAACAATATTGAATTTAAGAAACGTATTGATGATGTGTTGCACGTATACGTTTGCCTTGGTGAGTTTCAATGGGAAGAGGGAAAAGTGACGTTTTGTGGAATCGCCAACAGACAGTTGGTGCGAGGGTACGACAATCTCGGACTAACTGGATATGCGAATTGTCCTTTTTCCCGAATGTGTGGCAACTTCTGTTCCACCCAGCCCTCTCTGTCATCCTCAGCGTTCAGCTTGTCTATCATTTCCAATAGATTATCATCTAGTTTCAGTTAGAGTTGAGTATCGATATGTTCAATGCAATACAAGCGTTTACACACAAACACAAGTTCCTACGCAACAAAACAAGAAAAGAGAAAAAGAAACGAATGAGGTAAACGCAGTCATTTGTGTAAATCAATGTTTAGTCGAATGTTTACTTGCTACCCAAAAACAATGCCTATGTGCTCTTCATACTATCTCTATATGTTGCGATTGTCTGTTAATATATATATATATATATATACAAGGAATCTGTGTACGTAAGTTGCGATCATCCGTTCAACGATTGATTGCAGTTTAAAGGAGCTTATGAATGCTTATAAGCCATTCAAGGCAAGACATACCATAATGTTACGAAAATCACGTAGTCGAATTTCTAAGAAAGCAAATTCCAGAGACACAATCTGCGTTATGTAATTGATCTGCACTTGATTAACCTAAGATTGTCGCGATGAATTTATGAGTAGCATATTTACCAAAGACAAAATCAATCGAGTCAATAAAGTTCAATCGTAATATTCGAACGCATAAGACCGGAACGAGAATTAAAGCATCGCAAGTTCCCGCAAATAATTTGTAAATTGATCCCCTAACCTATACTATCTTAATAATGAAAATTCAGCGCTACGAACTTAATCTCCAAATGGATTGAATACATGCGTAAATTCACAATTCAAACGGATTACGTTACAATATTATTTTATTTAAATTCCTACGATACTTATCTCTTCACTAATCGATAATTTGTTTCGTAAGGATTTTAGTAAAACTTAAAACATGTAATGTAGACTTTGAACTTATCCTACCGATCTTAGTTAACGCATTCTATGAATGTAATGTTATGTATGTAATGTTTTTACGTAAATAATAGAAATTGATTAAAACGATAAGATAGAATATACTTGCTCTCTTAGTTTGCCTTAGTTATTTCGGCTGTTAGCAGGAACGAATTGTAGATTAAAGTAAGAAAAGATGTGTAAAGTTTCGTTTTACTATACAATAGAATGAAACTCGTGTTTCCGTGTTCTTTCATAAAGGTTTGCTTGTATTCATAATTGTATTATGTAATACATAAAATTCATATCTTTTGCTTTCCTCCTGTACTCTCATCTTCATGAATTTTTTATTATTATTATTATTATTATTATTGTTATTAATAATGCAGAAAAGAAGAGAAACTAATCTCTCGTACTAGTCTTGAACGAATTTCGAATGAGCGCAAATCAAAGTTTTTTCCCTTTTTTTTTTTTTTTTTTTTTTTTTTTTTTTTTAATAAGAATGAAATTATCAGGATCGGTGCGTGAATATCTAAGTGAATGAATATCTATTAAAGACCGTGAATAAAACACAATGAAATTTTCACACTCTTCCAGCTATTGGCGGCAATTATTGTGATGCACAGAAAGTGTATCTTACGTATGATGAAACTTTCTTCATCAAGTTAATACCCAATGTTTTATTTTTTTCATTTTATCGTTTTTATAGTCGTTCAGGAATTCATATGGACGTACGTGATTTTTCGATCTTGATAAAAATGATAAGCAAAAATTTTTATATTTCCATTCGGGTAGAAAATTAAATTTTTTATTGTTTTCAAACGTATTGTGATTAAGTTAATGGACATTCTCTGACTTTGTCACCGCCCATTAGTCATAAATTCTTGCAATTGTACTTTCTTGCCATCTGTGTGTATTGAATTTGATATTCCGGAATATATAGTCGTAATAAACATCCACAATATCAAAGCAGAATATAAGTCATGAAAACTTCAAAAAGGGAAAATACTTATGACGCCTGCTTGTAATTTGTAATATCTTTGTGACATTGCTCGGCAATACCTTGAATAATTTACATTGCGAATGGCATTTCGCATGAGTTATATGATATGAACGAATGTGCGAACTTGGCAAGTAGAATGATAAAATTTAGCTCATTCGTATATTCGAGTAGAGCATGTGCTGTTTTTCTTTATGCACAACTAAGCAATGACGGTATATTCATTTCACTGAAACGTTTGCAGCAACCATTAGAAAGTTTCAAAGATTCTATAAAGCATGCACATACATTTCTTGATCGATATCATATTCTAAATCGATCTACGCTTGTCATTCTCTTCGTATGTTTATCTGTGTTTTATCTGTTCCGGTAGCAAAAATTAAGTAGTGCACTTCAAATATAACAGAAACATTAGAAATTCTTCTACACAAGTTGGTATTGAAATTGATTCAAATTGGGACAAAGGATACGCAGAGTACAGAGCAACATAAACTGAGACTATTTTTTTTTTTTTTTTCTTCAGACTTATGATGATCCTACAATACTTGGACAAATATGCACAACATCAGCCATGCCCACCCAATTTTATATAGAATATGAAAATCTCATTTATTTCGAAGATTTTCTTCAAGTTATAAGTGATGGATGTAAACGTTTCGGATGCAGTCGACTATAACTTTCTTACTTGTTTGTTTGTTTTTATTTATTTATTTTTTTTTTTTTTTTGTATATTCATATATATTTTCCTTTTATTACATCAAGAACTGAGTAAAACGATTCATATGTACAAGCATAAGAACGTATTTTGAAATATAATACGTTTTAATATTTCCAAATCTTTTTACAAAATAACAGAAAATTGTAATCTTATAATTAAAATCTTCCTACGGAAAGCTTGAAATGGGAAAGGTTTATTGTGAAATAGAAAAGAAGAGAGAAAAAAAGTAAGAGATTATTTATGCAGCTGTTTTACAATGCAGTGAGAATGTTTTAGCAAAGAAGCATTTTGTTTAAAATTGTTGTAATTAAAAGCAAACGGTTAAAAGGATTACTGCTGGGCAGAGTTGACAATTAAATTATTTTCATCATCGTCTTATTTCCTGCTGCCACATAAAAGCTTATTTCTTATTAGATCCCCTACACGGAAGGGAATGCAAAACATCAACATCATAGATCGTGTAGGCATATAAAGGTTTATTTCTCAAGGCATTTCTTTTATATAAGAAACGATCTTAACAGAAAATGTATTTGATCGGTATTTAACACTGTACATTTACATTTCAAATCATTGTTCTCTCTCTCTCTCTCTCTCTTGGATTTTATTATCGCATAAAGCACTTTTTGTTTCATGCGAGAGACTTCAAGAGCAGCGGGAAATAGTCGTAGAAATTCAAATGATTTTCTTTTGCGTTCGCCAACGAGCCGAAATACGCCAATCGAAAATTTCAATTGATTGAACAAAAAATCACTTGAACAAACTTCATATGCATCATATTAACTGACATGATTGAAATGATTCGAAAAATGATTCTGAATTGTTTGGTATTATGTTATAAAAGAGTGATTTGTCTCAAGTTCTTCTGTATGTTGAACACATCCACACAAACTTCATATATTATATTATATTATAATATATCCTTGCCGTTAGTGATGTAGCGTATACCCAAAGAGATATTATATATGGCCAGAGCTAAGTTTAGTATTATCAATCATTAGTTTATGTAAGACATTTAAATAGAAAATTCTTTCATTCGATATATTGACCATATACCTACCATACCATATCAAAGTATGTTTTTATACATTTCCGCAACATTTCATAAGTAATTACGCAA